TAACAGCACAGCGAAGTCCATAGTCAATCCTAGTTGGCTGAAGGCGAATGCTTTATCCAGTGTTCACGATTCTCCACATGTAGAGTCCATAACGGTACCCGCAACTTTAGAACTTGCTGTATCGAGATGAAAAACATGCAATTTAAGAAGATATTTTCTACGAAGAACTCAAGTTTTTCGAAGAATAGTAGGACTTTCACGTTAAAATTATAAATGGACTTCCTGGTTTTGAGAGTTCAGAAGACACTAAAGAGAACATAATTGAAATGAGGTGTCTGCCACTTCGTATGCTCCATCTTCGCAAGTTTGTACTGATTTTAGATGCAATTTGGTATGAAGACCTATACCTATTAAACTCTGTCGGGTAATTTTAATTTAATTTATGTAAGTCAAATACGAGTATGATCTCCAGTTCACATGAACACAAAATCGATCTTATACTGTATAGATCTCATTAATGCAAATCGTGTGTATTTTAAACTTTCTTGGGAGATATTTAACGAAATAAAAATAATATAATAATTTATTGCTATATGCAATATGGTATCTTTGTGAAGATAATTCTGTGGTTGTTAAGAATCACTTAAAATACGCTTATGTTTTGCCATTAATAGCGGCGTAAAACGAACATTTTCTGTTTGTTCTTTAAAGTCAGCAATATCAGCTTTCAAATAATTGTCATAAGAGTTGCGACAAAGAAGTTTGGAAAACGTTTTAAGAATAACACTTCTTGGCATTTTTGTATCACGATTACTGGAATGTGACGGCCGCATATTGGGCACCATTTACATGGTGTCTAGACTCTTTCTTTTGAGATGATTGATCATCTCCTTTTGTAAGAATGGCCTCTGAGTGCAGACGTACGTAGGCAAAAATAAAAAATCCCGACTCAGTAATATCGACCGTTAGTCTTTAAATAGTTAAATCAGACGAACACTGAAGAAATGGTTTAAGGCACGTTATTGACTTGACTATTGTGACCTGATTGGTTATATTCTTTGCTTTTGTGTACCTATGTTCTTAAATTTCTCAGTTAGTTTTCTTTAACGCATTTCCCATGCGGCAACTTGTCTGCACTCTGGTATGACGGGCATTGTAGGCATATATACACAGGCGTTCTGAACAAAGATTTCAAGCGAGTCCTTTACTTTAATCCTGACAGTTCTATAGAGTAACTTACACGTGTTATAAGAAAAAGCCCTGTCGTATCCGAACCAAGTACAGTTTATGTTGAAGTAATGTTGCGTGATTTTCAGATCATCTGTTTTAGTATCTGTCAGCACTAAAGAAGCAAACTGCATGAGATATATTGTCTGACAACAGCGGCTCAAATCGCTGCGTCTTTTGGTGGGTCGGTGACTGCATGGATTTCAATTTATTTCGTTTTCTGTAGCCTATTCTTAGGATGAGATGTCAGTATTTTTCGACCGCATATTTCAAAATGTCAAAGTAAGTTTTTGTTTTTATTCAGGAACTGGTTCTGTCTTTCTTTCTGTTTATTCAGTGCAGTCCATTCCATCTATTATCTAAAAATGTAAAGATTAAAATACAAAATTCTGACATCACTTATTTAGTATGGGCGTGAAACTTAGTCTATCACGTTTCGTGAAGAACACATTAAAATTATTAGAGAACAATGTGCTGAGTATAATATTCGTATCGAAGAGGACAAAAGTAACAAGATTGAATACAATTATATAATGAGCAGCTTCATAACTTTCACTCTCCAGGGCGATCACGTGAAGGGGAATGAAATAGACGAGGCATGTAACACTGATGAGAGGGATGATAAATCCATACAGTTTTTGTCGGAAGCCCTGAAGGGAAGATGCAGCTTAAACGACGCTTATTTTGATGCTAATAAAGTTGTTCTTATAAGTAAGTGCGTGTTAGGTTGTGGACTGGATTCAACCAGCTCAGGAAAGATACCAGTGGCTTGCTGTTGTGAACATGGTAATGAACCTTAGGAATTCTATAAAGGATGCGGAATTTCTTTACTGCCTTTGAGACTATTAAACTTTGAAGAAGGATTTTTCTCGACAGGGCTAGTTGTCCTTTATTAGGCTGCTAGATTTTTGTATATTTGTCCCTTATTATTATAATAAGCTACTTCCTTCAAGTTCAAGTATGTAAACCAACACTGTACAGCGTATTTGGAAGTTTACAGACGACTCCAAAGATTCTCTGAATAATTCTGAGATTTGACAGTATTCGCCATATTTATCATGCGAACAAAGCTTAATGTTTTTGTTTCTTTCACAATATTTTCGTTGTAAATGTTGTGCTGTGTTTAATTTTGACATGGCACGTAGCTATGTAACTGTAACTTTCTTTATGTCTGAAATTTTTGTCCCAAGAATACACCAAGCTCTCGCAGATTTTACTAACCAATTTTTCATAGATGTTGAATTTAGTTGACATATTAATAAAGTTGTTACATTGATATTGCACACGCGTTGTTCTTTTGTTTACAAACTAGAATTAATATTGCGGGTAGTGACAAGAGACATTATGAGTATTTTAGGGTCTGGCAACACGAACATATCGGAAGATCGTAGCGTCGATAAGGAAACTATGAAAACTGCGCTTCTCATGGAACTTGCAGACATGCCTAGTTCAACACACGGTAGCACGAAAAAGATAATAGAATCAGTTATGAAGAGTTTAGGCGCTTTTCGACTAGCTTCTAACATACTTTTCTTAGATAATATTTCAAGATAAAACAGAACTGGTGTTCCCGTGACTAACAGGTTTTTACTCGTATATGATGTGAAGCTTTCACGGCGGCTTTCATTAATTAAGTCTTCTCGGGCTATCAGCCGTGCTAGATGTTGATTAATCGCCGACGTTTCGAGGACCATCTCTGTCCTCATTTTCAAGGCTTTATCAACGTTTTTACTATTTTAGCAGAAAAATTATTTTGTGTTAAACAAAGTAAAACGACTATGATTACACTGATTGACAGCAATGCGGCATTAAGGAAATGATTACTTTACTTTAATGAATTTAGATTTACCATAGTATACGCAACGTGTTTGAAATACAGAAGCCAATCACCTGCCAACATATCGTAATACAAATGCGCGGATTTAACCGTGATCCT